TTATTTTTAGTAATCAATTTAAGAGTAATGCTAATGCTAATTGAAAAGAACTATGTGCATGTGATATAATTATTGGATGCATTCCAGTGCTAATAGCACTGGATATTCAAATTTTATTAAAGAGTTATAGCATATACCAGTATATTTGATGTATAGTTGAAGAGATATATAATATACATTAGTGCATTTGATGCATAATTAACAGAGACATATAGTATGCTTGATGTATAATTGATAGAGATATATAGCATACATTGGTGGTCTCCCACCCACATAAATGCCAGTGGTCTCCCACTTGCATAATGCAGGCTTGTTGTAAAGAGATGTTACAAAATGGCAGGATTCTACTGAAGGAGGGTAAGGCAGGGTGTGAAATTGATTGCCTCTTAAAAGAGCTGCTGTTGTGCTGCCCTGCTACTCTTCCATTTTTTATATCTTTATGCTATTGTTATATATTTCTGCTAAATTTGGTTATATTAGTATTTATACAGTCAGACCTCTCTAAGTGCACCCTCTATAAGTGCACACCCTCTCTAAATGCATGCTCAAGTGCTGGCCCAAATATATACTTGACCTCTATAAATGCAATTTTCTTATTATTCTCTATATGTATGTTATAAAATTGTGGTCCCAAGGGCATGCACTTAGAGAGGTCTGACTGTACTATAAACTCCTAAATTAGTAATTTCATTAAATTTATACTTATCTTCCCCTTTGCATATACCAGATTCTCTTGTTGAAACTGGGATCACCCATGTGATTATTGCTTGCTAATGTATCACTGCTTAGCTGTCTTTTCGATCTGTTGACCTACTGTCAACTTGAAAGATTGATATTGATATTATCAAATCAAAATTAAATTTTCATATTCAGAATGACATTTAAAGCAAGCAGAGGTAGAATTATTTGGGTCAGATATGTAATTATGAAGAAAAATAATAATCTTGATATTACTTTTTTTGATTATTAATTATTAATTGTAGATAAGGAATTAAATCAGTGTAGTAATATTGGTATCCTTTAAAGAATTTTGCTATTTATCACCACTGGTGATCATCACCAGTGTTGCTATATCTCAAAAATGTACTAAGTAAACGGGATTGGGTTCTCTAAGTAAAAAAGTTCGGGACCCCCAAAAACCTTACAAGCACTGAGATCGGGACCTTATAGTAGCTCTACATTATATTATAAAAAAAAAAAATTCTCTAATTTCTAACCCTAACCCTAACAAATCTTAGGGCTGATGATGATCACCAGTGGTGATATGTAGTAATTTTCTTACATGATTTACATCAATATGGAAAGAGTATTTAATTAAATAATTGCATAATTATAATATGTATACGTTCAACATAAAATGTAATGATCATAAAAATTGAACCTCCGAAGTATCAAGCCACCGTGACGCACCAACCTGGTACACATTTTCCATTTGCTAGCTAGTAAACAAATGACGCAATTACGTGATGTTATGATCACTGGGTTCATCTTTCTTGAAGTGTCCCAATAATAAGCTAGAAACTCTTGAAAATCCGGATTTCGCGGTAGAATTGCTAGTCCAATGATACAGCTGCATTGAGGTAACTACTGTAATTGTAATTACGACCGATTGTAGTGAAGTTGTAGCTTTTTTGTAGAATTGACATAAGTAATTGCTCCGATCGTATTTAGAGTTACAACCCGAATGTAGTATTAATGTAGTAGGTCTTAACTCCGGTAGCAGTATACTTCAAACACTATTATATGGATCCTAACTCCGGTAGGATAAAATTTATCGAGATAGATCAAACGATTAGTTTGTCATAATATTGCTTAAAAATAAATACCAGCTAAAGAATCGGGCAGTGTTTGTTTTAAGTGCACGGAATCCAATCAAATTGCTTTATTTCAGAATTTGATTAGATTCGCACAGGTGCGCACAGTGAAAAATAAACATTGAATCGGACACAGATTTAGATTACTTATAGTATTAATAAATTAGAGAATTCATTTTTGAGTCACGTCTAATGTCAGAGTTATGTCTAAAACCTTAGTTGAAAATGCCAGAAATCACCACTTACGTTTGTTACTGCACTTTTGACGTTAAATGCGTATCTTTTTGATAACCACATGTTCCCAAGTTTCATAAATCATGTTCTGTATACTTATGTTTAGAGCTTGTACCCGTTATAAATTTGAGCTCCGGGTTACTCACCCGTTTACAATATCATTACGGGGTCATCTTAAATTATCCGAGTAATCCGGTTGACCCGTTTCACTTATATGTAATTTTTTAAAAAATTTATTTATTTAATATAAATTATAATGAATTTTAAAATATAGCAAATCGATGAAAATATTGAAACGGTTAATCTAACAATGAAGGAATCTCAAGCTTGTTCGACTATAGTAAACATTTTTAAACTACCTAGTTTGTCTGAAGTAATTGCTATTTAATTTGAAATATTAACTTATCTGAAGCAATAGCAACTTAATCAAGTATAATCTGAAGTGCAAAGATATCGATATACATTATCTTTGTCATTAGAAAGATATGTACATTGTGCAATCGCTCATTACCGCAGTCAAAAATAGATCGAATCGGCCAAATAGTCATTCGGTCAATTTTTTACTAGATGTTCCAAAATTAATATTATTATTAATGAAAACAGCTGTAATCGGATTGAATAACCGCATGTCACATTTTAACAATTATCATGCTTATGGATAATTAATCTGGTTCACCCGGTTAACGATGCTATAACCCGGTTAACAGGTGTTAACGGGTTACCCGGATAATAATAACTCTTATACGGGTACAAGATACTTATGTTTATATAATTGTTTAAAGTTATCCGTGTCTCCCAACGGATCATTTGAATCTGTTTGAAAATATAGATTGACCAGTAGAAAATCTATATTACATAATAAACCATATTTATTTACGTACGTAATTATTACTATTACACCAAAGACCATTGATTTATTGGAGTAAACTTCTTTTATAAATAAAAAATATAATACTTACTAAGCTTATATTAAGCTTATGCAGAATAAATAATAATAGTTACGTACGTATGATAATAAAAAACGGCAGGATTATTATGATTGACTAAAGAATCCTTATTGTTTACAAAGCTATATTGGTTGATTATGAATTAGAGATGGATAAAAGTTTTAAACGATTACGAAAAAATATAAGATCAGATCTACTATATCGATATTAATTCGGAAATTTATTTAATTTAGCCAATTTAATAAGATACGTGATGCAGCGTGATGTCCATCAGTATATGTGATTAACCAAAAGAATTATACACTAAACCTACCTTGATGTTCTAATAAGGTTTTGGAGCATATAGTACACCAATAATTAGATAAATCTTTATTATTCAATTCCGAATGTTCACGGGTCTGGTGCTAGTATTTCTAATTTGTATCCAGAAATTCCGGGCCGTCACCCTGCAGATATTGGCCAATAATCAATTTCTTGATCGATTAGTGCATCCTTGTAATCACCGCAAAAAATGAAAATAAAAATAATTATCATTGTTATTGCTTCTTAAAATTAACTTAAATTAGAATTAGGGTGCGGTCAAGGCTAGCGTTAATGTAAGGTAAGGGTTTTAAAAAAACAGATACCAAAATTGCAAGGAATTTTTTTTTATCTTTCTTTTTTATAACTCAAAATACACAAAAGACAGTTTTAGGTTTAATTTCAAGTTAGTTATTTTTGAACTACGATTGTTTTTTTTTTTTCTTTAATTTTATCGATGCACATATTGCTTGTGTAATATTTATCCCTAGAAAAAATTTTTGTTGGTAATGCTTTAAAAATTTCTAAAGCTAGTGTTTTTGTTTTGTTCAAAAAAAATGTTCGGAATGGAGTCGATTTTTCGAACATAAACTGATTTTGTACAATGTTTATACCTAATGTTTTCAACCAAAAAAATTCTTTTTATACGTCATGGTACAATATCGTACTTGTATTCGGAGAATCGACTCCGTTCCGTACATTTTTTTAGACATTGCCTACAGTAACTGTATGTAACACTTTTTATGGGATATATAAATGATGCATGGATACATATATGCACGCCATCATTATCCATGTACATTACACCAATTTATAAATTCAATGAGTTAACTCCAATTGCAGTATCATTTAAGTATATCTGATATGTGTGTGTGTATGTGTGTATGTACACGTACGTGGCTATGTTACAATTATGGTAAAATAATACACACTACGTAATTGTATTAGTCAGAAAACCTGAGAAACACTGCTCAAAAGTTTTCTAGAGATGTTAAAAATTAAATTACGCTGTAACTTACATTGCCTTCACGTAATTCACAACATCGGCCGAATTGTGCAACAATTTCTACCAGCACTAACATCAACTTGACCCAGTCTCAATGGCTAAACAAGTATTATGCAATTTTTTTAAAAAAAATTACGTAATAAATGGCCAAATTTCATGATTTCATCTCGGGAATTATTCTTACAAATAATTTACGTCGTAAATTACAATAAAATTTACATTAGTAAATTACATGCAACTTATTTAATTGTTAAGTCAATCAACAATAGCGATAGATACGTATTAGTATTTGTTATATTAATTATTACGTAGCATAGAAACAATAACATGCGACTCGAATCGACTTTCATCCTGAATCGATAATGTTAAAGTTTGGCAAGTCATTATGCTATTATGCCTAAATATGGTATGCTTGCGTTGCTTAGACGAGTCTTTATTATAAAACCCAAAATTGTTCATACTACGTAATAATGGAAAGATCAATAAAATACATATCATATACATATACTAATATGAGCGATTAGGTTAAATATGTCTATATTGAATAAACATACCGAATTTAATTTGGTTGTTTTTGTGATAGTGTAATGCTTTTTAGATACTATAAAAATACGAGGACTTTGATTAGGTTATAAAAACAAGTTTCCTTGTTGCAAAGCCTTTCATCAAAGAATTTTAAAGTTTCACTCAAAAAATAAAATGCTTTCATTTTATAATACGATAGAGGTTTCATACATCCTTACTTTTTTATTTGCTTCTTACATTATATACGCATTACTTAACATTTACAAACATTCAAAATGTAAAAAATTTAACCATGTATTTGAAAAAAAGAAAAAAATTCCAATATCTGTAAATTTTCATTTTACACGTAAATGTAACTATGAATGTGGATTTTGTTTTCACACTGCAAAGTCATCTGAAATTCCTATTATAGAAAATTCCAAACAAGTTTTACGAAAACTTTCAGAAGCTGGAATGAAAAAAATCAATTTTGCCGGCGGTGAACCATTTTTATATCCAAAATATCTTGCCGAATTAATGGACTTTTGTAAAAATGAATTAAAATTAGAATCAGTATCTATCGTTAGTAATGGAAGTAAAATTAAACGAACATGGTTGCAAAAAAATCGTGATAATTTGGACATATTGGCTATCTCTTGTGATTCATTTAATGAAGAAACGAATATTAAAATTGGTCGCGGGTCAGGGCAACATATTAAAAATTTATATGAAATTGCAGAATGGTGTCATCAGTTAGGAATAAAATTTAAGTTGAATACCGTAGTAAATGCTTTTAATTGGGAAGAAGATATGAATGAACATATTGAAATTTTAGCTCCATTCCGATGGAAATGTTTTCAAGTCTTAATTTTGGAGAATGAGAATGGTGGACTTGAAGGTACATTAAGAGATGCAAGAAGATTTAAAATTTCAACAGAGCAATATGAAGCATTCATCGAAAGGCACAAAGCTCAGAAATCAATAGTTAAAGAACCTAATAATGTAATGAAAAATTCATACTTAATACTTGATGAGAAATTACGCTTTTTAAATTGCACCGATGATGACAAAGTTCCAAGCGAATCTTTACTAGATGTTGATGTCGACACGGCGTTACAACAAGCCGGATGGGATGAGAGTGCCTTTTATCAACGACAGGGAATTTATAATTGGTCAAAGCTTCCAAATAATGGTTGTGCCGGCGCGAATGATTCAAAAAAGTTTGATTGGTAAAAATTATTGTTCGTTTTTTTTTTTTGTTATAGGTTCAACTTGATACATTATTGATAAACGTCGATTCTTTTTTTTTTTTTATAATTAAGGAATAGATCATTATACACTTGACCCTCGTTAATATTAACCTATTTAAATTAGTTGATTATGTTGATATACGAGGGTTTGTAGCAAAGAGATGATTATTAATATAGTCTTTAGTGCAACTTTTTATTAGTGTAAGGTTGTTATTAACGAGGGTCAAGTGTAATATTTGTTAAAAAAATTTATGTCTGACCTTTAAATATTTTATGTAAGGCGTAGTCAGATAATCACGTATTCGATTGACTAACTGACCACGGGTCTGTCATTTCTATCACTCTGTAGCGACATTAGTAATAATTGTTATATCTGTCATAACCGATAATGATGTTAGAAAAGTTATTATTGTTATAAGTGTTGATTGCGGCAGATATAATACTTCGGGCTGTTTGTTAAATTATTATTATATTATAAATAAAGACATACGCATGTTCTATAACTTGAGTTACATAAAATCTTCTTTCGAGTTAATTATACATTATAACTCTCGTTATATACAACTTGTCCGACTATTATGCATACAAAATTAATTTTTATTTCTCATAACAAAAAAAACTTTTTGCTCACCCGGTATAAAATTTTTTAAGCTCTGAGCACCCATCCGTTTATAAGATCATTTCTGGACCACAAAAATGGGCAATTCTTGAATGTGTTCTAGGTTGGTGGCACATTAACCAGCCACAATGATCTCTTTTATTTAAGTATGCACAGTGCATTCGTAAAATTTCTTTTTCAACGAAACTTTTCACATGTGTTTCATCAACCGTCCTGTACTTTGAATGTTATCTATTTTTCTTTTGTAAATTGAAGACATAATAGAAATAATATAATTTTAAAATTTTTAGTTAGTTCATTATAAAAAGTTGCCATTATAAAAAGAGTTGACCGTTACTTAATATGTAAGTATAGTAAATTACAGTAATTTCGGAAGTACAGAAGTATGTAAGGCTAACAAAGCTTATAAAAGTTAGGTTTAAAAGTAAACATTATAACATTACTGCATTAAGGAACACTACTATCATTCTTTTTAAGATACGATTCAGCGTAGATTATGAGAAAAGTCTTTTTTTTTTATTTAAAGAATTTTTTTTTTTATAAACCATATAGTACATGTTTATTTGGGATTTTATTATTATACTATTAAAGTCAATATTTTCTTATACATGTTTTATATTAAGAACTTTGACGTTTTGGTCTGTAAAAATTTTGAAATTTATAACTTAGGCGACTTGAAATTAAAACCTCGTTTAACGTTATTCCCCTCCACTTTTGGGTCTCCCCCAAAATTAAACGATTAACAAAGTAAAAAAAAAGATTAAAAATTAAAAAGCATATGTCGTTCAAGTTGGCAGTAAGTCAACAGAACGAAAAGATGTGATGCTAGCGATTTAATTATTAACATTAAATAAGAGTTAAAATGATTAATTGAAATGAATTCTGTTTAAGAAAATAAAATTAATAAATAAATACTAGTTAATCATCTTTAGGTTCAACTTCAACCTAATTTTGGTTCCTATTAACCTAAATTTGGTTCATTTGAATCTAGTTTATTATTCTCGCTCGGATTTCATATTAAACGCTGTCTTTATTAGACATTATGAAGATACATGATGGGAGTAGTGCTCCACTTCATCACTTTCTCTTCTGCTATTACATATTGTGCTCATAACAACTCTATATACATGTTAGAGTGTCCAGGATTATGATCCGGCATAATATCCGCATAATTCACCTTATAGCACATAAAATATGTGATTTCACAT